GTGGGAATAAATGCAAAACAAATTAAATAATTGAATAAACAAATTAACCGAATCCAGGTCTGCCTTGGGCTATTGCTCATACACTTTCCACATATTACACTATTTATAAAAGGTGTGGTTGAAAGATTTGAGGCTATTGTACCTGGGAAAAAGAAAATTTAGGAGGGAAGATCTGACAGCTGTCTTCCAATGTCTAAAGAACTATCATGCTGAGGAGTTACACATGTTCTGCATACCTCCAGAGGGCAGAACAAAGACAAATGGGGTGAAAGTCCAGGGAGGCAGATTTCATTACAGTGTAAGGAAGTGAAATATGTAACAATGAGGTCTGTCCAAATTTGAAGTAGGCTGGTTTTTAAGGAGGTGAGTGTTCAAACAAAGGCTGTAGGAACACCTGTCAGGGTGTTGTAGTGGAAATTCCTGTTCTGGACAGGAAATATTTAGCCACTTAATATGCTTCCCTAGATCTGGGAGCTTGAAAGCAAAATTGAATATGATTTGAGACCTCAAGGAGAAAGAGATGCAATGAATAATAGTTTTTATGATGCCTTACTAACATTGGACCCTTTAAAAAATACATCTGCATTTGTGGGTGGCCACTTCAGTGCCGTTGATGAGGTCTTTGAGAGCTAGCATTCCAACGGTCATTAGGGCTGTGCAGCTGCCTCTGTGACTAAACAGCAGCGAACACTCCAATGTACGAGAGACTGGTTCCAGGGTCATTCCTCTTCTCCAGACAGAATCTCTGTTCCCCAACCATAGGGCCACATACACACAAACACATTTCTGCACTAGAAGCTACCATGGTGTGCTGACAGATCTCATTCCAAACTAGTGTTGGAAGCTGTCCTTGTCCCAGCTGCTTAAAGGCATCCCCTTATGCTGAGCTCAATTTTACAGCAATGTTCCTCTTCATGCAAATATTCAGCTCATGAAAGAGACATTGGGAGAGAAGAAAACTGAAAATCATCTTTTTAATACATCATTTCTATCTTAAATTCACAAAAAAATCTTTCAAAATTATGTGGAGGCTATGAATTAGGAACCCTGAGTTGTAAATCCATGCCTAAGGGTGCCAAAACATGGATGGAAGTGACCTTGAAGATCTGAAATTTTTGTTTTCAGCAGGCACAGGCCTGGACCAAAAAGGACAGTTTTTCTATGGAGAAATGTAATCTGAGTACCAAATAACCAGTTTGCAAATTTGGGAGTTTAACCCATTTGTGAACAATCATATATAATATATTGTAATGTTAAAATTATATTTCAAACCAGTGTCCATATAGCTTAAAAGGTATTTGATAATCCAATCGAACATTTATTGAATACCTACTATGTGTTATGCACTATGCTAGGCACTGATTGTAGGTAGGTAAACAAAATGGATGTGATCTCTGATGCTACAGGTTTATAATCTAATTTAGACAATAAATAATAAGCACCAAATTAATACATGATACACACTGTGATGATCAATATGAAGGGGAAGGATTATTAAGAGAGACTCCTAAAATCACACTAGGCTTTTCTGAGGAAGAGACTTTTCACTGAGAAATTAAGAATAAGTGAAAATTAACCTTGTAAAGGGTTAGAGAAAGGACATTGCTGGCAAAGGGCATGTCCCAAAGCTCTGGAATAGAAAACAATTTGATTCCATAAAGTAATGGAAAGAAAGCCAGTATGAGCAAGGGGAAAAGCCTTGACATGACCCTGGGGAAGAATGCAAGGGCGGAGCATGCGGAGCCTTGGAGATTGAAGGTTACTCTAAATAAAATGGGAAATCCAAACAGAGGAAAGTGAAGCAATTTACATTTTTTAAATGATTATTCAAAAGGTCAGATGTGGAAAATGAATTAGATGGAGGCAAGAATCCTGTCTCTTTCTATATAAACTAAGCATACACAAAAATGACCACTTACAGTTTATAATCACATTAATGTAGCATATTTAGAGTTCTTTCTTTTTTTATTCCTCACCCAAGGACATTTTTTAAAATTTCTTTTTAGAGAGAGAGGAAGGGAGAGAGGAAGAGAGGGAGAGAAACATTGATGTGAGAGAGAGACATCAATTGGTTGTCTCCTATACTTGCCCAGACTGGGGATCAGAACCACAACCTAGACATATGCTCTGACCAGGCATCAAAGCCACAAGCCTTTGGTTACCGGACAATGCTCCAACCAACTGAGCCACACAGGCCAGGGCTAGAGTTATATCTTTTAAATAATTATAAGAGTTTAACATCCCACATATTTTTTGTTTACTAGTCAACTTTCTCCAAGGAAACATACCATTGCTAAATGAATAAAAACTGAAATCTTTTCTATTCAGGCAGTGTAAATTCTAACTTACACTGAGAATGAAGACAAATTACTATTTCCAAGACAGAGGAAGGAATAAAAATAAATGCTTTTTCATGTAATGTTGGATTCAGAACATTATCTCCGTTTTATAATCAGGGGAAACTATGCACTTCACTGAGGGTGCCGAGATAGAAACAGAGCTAGAATTAGACATTCTCCATGACTGAACATTTCTGTTTTTGTTGCCCATTACTATTTCCTTCTGTGGAGCATATCAGAGCAGGCAGCCTGTCCTCTTCATCATTCTCATCAAGTTTAAGTGTAGACTCCTGGCAAAAGCAAGTATGTATGACTGAGTAACACACTAATACTTTGAAAAACAATGTGTTCTTCTCTAACTGCTGTGAGAACAGGACCCACAGCATGGCCAGTGCAGAGGCAGGGCCTATAAATTAAGGACATCATAAAGGCAGAATTAAAACTCAGTCTCTGGCATTCACAACAGAGGCATGCAGCAATCCAGGCTATACTCCAAATTCCCTCCCGTCTCTGCAAGCAGCCCCAAAGGGCCAGTTATATAGGTTTCATTTGTTTGTTTGTTTGCTTGTTATATGATGTTGATATGAAACTGGATGTTTTATAGAAGTAGGATATTACATTAGGGAAAATAAAAGAAAAGCTTACTCCTGTTAACCCCAGGGGACTGTGGAAATATGAGAGAGAAAGATAAGGAAACACCAAGAAAAAGATGAGTCAGTCAAACATGTATTCTAATTTCCTATTTCAGTGAACTGCATTAAATCTGTGGTTCTCAAATTTAACATGCCTAAAATCACCTGGAATCCTCGTTGAAACAGTTGCTGGGCTTTACCTCTCGAATTTCTGATTCAGTTGGTCTGGGTAGAACTCAGGAATTTGCATTTCCCACAAGTTCCCAGGTGATACTGACACTACTGGTCCAACAAGAACTACGGTCTTGAATAATTGAAAGTAATCTCAAAGGCAATGGAACTTCTTGTCCTTGATTTTCATGTGCCCTAGAAAGAGATCATCTCTATGACTGACCCCTGCTCAAATCTCTCCAACTCATTCCTCATCAATGGGGACATATAAACCACATCTCTCTCTCATTTACACTAGGGCATCTTAAAGAGAGAAACAGGACAGGTGGGGGCATCTCAGAGAATGCCCATTTTTCCCTAAGAAGATATAGCATTGCCTAAGGGACACTTTAAATTCCAAAATCTAACTATTCTTAAACCATATTGGCACATGGTCAGGTTTCTTTCTCTTTTATTTACCTTTCTAATAACCATGTCAGGCTTCATAAGGCCTTCTGCTTCCCTTTTTCCTTTTCCCACCGGCAGCAATGGTAACCCAGTTAGTGTGGTGTTGAGCCATCTTCAGCAGTGTGAATGATAAAGGCTATATCTTCAAGAATGGCAACGCCAAAAGAGAGAAGAAGGCTCAGACCCAAACGCTATCAAGCCGTCTTACAGAAATTGGATTTTACTTGTTTAAGTCACTGTATGTTGGGCATCTTTAATACAACCATCTAGTCGGTATCCCAACCAGTACAAGTGGAATGAGAGATACGAGATGTGTGAGAATAACACATAAATTCATTGCAATGCAATGCTTGAAATGTGCAAACACATTTTTCCTGTTATACTTTTCCACACTGATTCTTAGTGATCCACTCAAGACTTCATTTCCATTAGATCAGTCCTTTAATGTTTCCCTCTCTCATTTCTAGTCTTCCTACTTTCTCGACTATACTTTGTCCATCATCATTGCATGTATTTGGATCTAGTGACCTATGTAATTTCACCTCATGTTTTATTAGCTGTTTTATTTTTTTCTACAGATTCTTCAGAGTTGTTATAAACTACTCAGGCATTTTTTAATACTTTTTAAAAAATATTTTATTTATCTAATTTTTAAAGATTGCATTTATTTATTTTTAGAGAGGGGAAAGAAGGGAGGAAGAGAAACAGCAATATGTGGTTGCCAATCACGTGCCCCCTATCAAGGGACCTGGCTTGCAACCCAGGCATGTGCCCTATCTGGGAATCGAACCAGCGACCCTTTGATTCACAGGCTGGCACTTACTCCACTGAGACACGCAAGCCAGAGCCCTTTTAATACTTTGAATATGAAAATAAATAAATAAATATCCAAAAGAATATGCTTGTTTTTGTCATTATCAATCTTCTACTTCTTAGTGAATGAATAAGTATGATATGGACTAAGGTGATAATGTGAAAATTATATGCAGCTGAATCTTAGAACAACATACCTAAGAATATAAATATATATATTTACTTATATATGTATTTATTTTTATATATTTACATATATATCTCCTTAAATTTTTAATTTATATGTATGTATATAATGAACACAAAGATAACATTCTCAAACCCTGTTCCTTTAATAGTCAAATACTTCAATCTCTTTATAAATTCAATATATATATTCATATAATATTAAATATTCTTTGTTTAGTTTTTATTTCAAAATCATACACTTAACTCTACAGTCCAACTAGACTTGGAAGGGGTAAGGAAAATATGGAACACAATGAACTGTATCAAGAACATGAAGATTATAGAACATTCCAAGAAGATGGAGGTGAAGGAGTGCTCTTCTGAGCTTCAGAAGGAGTGGTCTGGTGGTTGAGATAAAACTCAAATCATATTAGAGTTGTCCACAGTCAGCAATGGTGATCTTCTTGCTGGTCTTGCCATCTCTGGACCCAATGCACTCCATGGTTACCATAGGATCCACGCCTTCTTTCACCTGGCTGAAGATCACATGCTTGCCATCCAACCACTCAATCTTCCCAGATGAAAATCTGGGAACCATTGTGTTGGGTCCAGCATTTGCCATTGACAAGGTGCCAGGACCTGTATGCTTCAGGATAAAATTCTCATCCTCAGTTTTCTCCTCAAAGATGGACTTTCTGCCTGTGCCATTATAGTGCGTGAAGTCACCACCCTGGCACATAAATCCCAAAATAAATCTGTAAAAGCAGGAACCTTTATAACCAAATCCTTTCTCCCCAGTTCTCAGAGTATGGAAGTTTTCTGCTGTCTTTAGAAATTTGTCTACAAATAGCTCAAAGGAGATGCAGCCCAGGGCTCGCCATTGGCAGCTAGCGAACACAGAGGCGTTGACCACTGTTGGGTGCAGGTACCTCCAGGGTGGCAGCGTCTGCAATTCCTAAATATTCTTAATATTTTTGCTTTTTTCCAAAATAATGTATTATAGGTAATAAAAATAACCTCCCAGGCACTGGCACTCCAAATATACGGCACTATATCAGTACTAAGGTCATGTTCAGTCCTCAGTGAATACCAATTTTGAAATATTTTTGGTTGGTTGTAGAAATCACAATTCTTCAGAATACAAATCATTCAAAACAACCAGTAAGCATTCCAAATTCCTTTACAAATGGTCACATCACTAACTGGGTTTGAAAAACAAATGTACATCACATCACAGTTTATCTCCCTCCTGGGCTGACTAATGTAATACTATTTTGTACTTCCATTTAAAGCACCAACAGTCAGGCAGTCCTCTTTCCAAACAAACAAAAAATACAACTTTAAAAGTAAAATAAGTACTCATAGCATCATCAGTACAAAATCATACAAACATGTCAAATTTTACCTAAAACATTTTGGAGTACTTTTAAATATAGTTTCAGAAGAAGGGAGTATGGGAGTAGCATTCTATTAAGCTCTAAGGCTGTAGGAAACCACAAAACAATCATTTTATCACCCTAACCAGTTACTGATCATAGAGATGGAATGAGAAACCACAACTAGGAAACTGAAACAATGAATCTTTGTGACCAGCTACAGGAATACAGGAAACCCAGAGACATAAGCATTGCCTGGAAGCCAGAGTTCAAGACAGAGCCAGTAGTCAAAAGTCAGGAGAGCCATTGTGAGTTATGGAGTGCACACATGCAGGAGTTCAAAACAAGTCTTGAATCACATACATAACAGAGGTCAAAGCAAGGTACAGAATCAAGAATCAAAACAAGAATTCATAATCATGCCTATGGAGCACACACTGTTCTGCCCATTGGTCATTTGAGTGGATCTAGTTGAAGCGAGAATAGTGTGTGTTAGCTGCACGCAAATCAGTCCTAACCGTTCCTTCCACCATAGTGGCCTCCCAGACACTGGGGACTAAACATGTCATTCACTTTCCCACTCTCCATCAGTTAGGTCTTCAGAAGGAAAGCCAGACTTGTTACAGACTAAATAAAGTACTTATACTTTCTCTTTGTGCCTGAGTTGTAGTGTGAGTTAAATTTCCACCCTGTTAGATTAGCTATTGGCCAGATTTCTAGCAGAATTAAAGGGCAAAGCAAGTCTGAAATTAGTCATGAGAATGTCTAGCTACCCTGAGAAGTACTAGGAGAAAAATTAAATGGAAAAAAAAAGCCCATAAACTTTCTTTTTTCTTTTTCACAACATTGTTCATATATAATTCACATACTGTATAATTCACCCATTTAAAGTGTATAATTCAATGGCTTTTAGAATATTCAGACTTGTACATTCATCACCACAATCAATTTTAGAACATTTTTATTACCTCAAAATTTTCATTATCTCAATGGCATACTCCCTTAGCCATTACTCTAGGCAACCACTAATCTATTTTCTGTCTCTATAGATTTTCCTATCGGGACATTTCATATAAACAGACTCAAACAATAATCTGGGGGTTCTTTGGTGACTGGTTTCTTTTACCTAGCTGTTTTCAAGGTTCATCCATGTTGCAGTATATATCAGTACTTCATCCCTTTTAATTGCTAAATAATATTCTCTTTTATGGATATGGCACATTTTATTTATCCATTCATCAGCTAATAGACATTTAGGTTTTTTCTACTCTTTGGCTATTATGAATAATGTTGCAATGGATATTCACATATAAGTTCTTGGGTAAACATATCTTTTTGCTTTTCTTGGATATGTACTTAGGAGTGGAATTGCTGAATTATATGGTAATTCTATGTTTAACTATTTGAAGAACTACCAGGCTATTTTCCAAAGTGGTTGTACCATTTTTCATTCCTGCCAACAGTGTGGGAATAATATGAGGATTCCAATTTCTTCACACTCTTGCCAATAGTGGTTATTATCAGTCTTTTTTATTATAACATCCCACCCTCTATTTGAAAAATCTCAAACAGATCTACATCTTTGGATCTGGAAATTAAACCAGTTCCCTGGTTAGAGAAGCCCACTCACAAAGGGAAAAATCCTGAGCACAGGTTTTCCTGATGAACAGAAAGAAAAGAAAAGGTCAGAGTTCTCTGGATATTTGGGGGGCAGTGGGAGCAACACTATGAAATTGCTTATAGTAAGCCTAAGCTATTTTTTGGCCTGCAAAAATAGCATGTTCATATGGTTCAATTTTATACAAAATAATTTCCATGGTGAGTAGGGTGACTGTTGAGGTGAATTAGTTAGGAAAGTAGTTGGGGTAAGCAGAAAGAGGCTTGCATTGCCTCCTAAGTGTCAACTCTATTTCATAGGTGACAGAGAAGTCAATTCATGAAAAAACTTGACAAATGGTTCATAAATGTATTCTTAAATGTTTAAAGAACTTTAGGTTTTAAAAAACAATATATTATTTTCAGTTTAACAAAAAAATGTAATGATAACTTTAATATTAGCAAGGACTCAGGGAAACAGGCTGCTGACATATATGTCTGGGTGCTTAAACTGGAAAAATCTTTCTGGAAGACATTTGAATACCCTTTGACCAAGCAGTCTTCTTCTAGGAACTAATTCCAAGGAAATAGTCATGGATATTAAAAAAAGAGTTTAGCCACCAGGATATTCTTAATGTCTAAAAATATCAAGTTGGTTAGATAAATCATGAATTATCTTTATAAGTAAATACTACTGTACAGCTACTTTAAATATTTAGATGAATATGCTCATGAAATTTTGGTATAAGAAAAAATTAGTTTATAAAACAGTACCTGTGTCAGTCAGGGCTCTTAAGAATTATATTGGACTGACTAGGTTTGAGTTTCAGAGCTGTCATTTACAGTCATGTGACCTTGATCAAGTAGCCTAACATTTCTGTAATTCAGTTTCAACGTCTATAAAATGATGATAATACCAGTCAGTACACATGTCATAGGGTTGTAATAATTAAATGAGTTAATACACATAAAGCACTTTGAAATTTGCCTGACACATATCCTAGATAGTAAGCATGGAGTTACTTACTGTTAGAATTTGTAGTCAGTAAATTAAGTCAAATTTTAAGTGAATTTAAGAAGTAAAGGTGGGAAGACAAAACACTGGGCAAGAACTATACCCAAAACATTCTGCCGAGCTGGTCCTGTGAAGTCACCACCACAGCTGCCAAGCACTGCTGCTAGACATCCTCAGATGCTAGACACTGCACACTGCCATGGAACAGCTGTCTCTGCTGCCACTGGAAACCGGATGCAGCTGCCATATCATATCCCTTGGCCAGAATGGATTCTGCGTCATTCCTGCTGCTTTGAGTCATCAGCTCCTGAATCAAAGTCTAGAGAGGATGCATCTGCTTGACCACACCAAGTCCCCAGTTCCCAGATGTAAGGGAGGTTGAGAAAAGGGGCAGTGGGTTTTTATCACATAGACAAGCAGAATCTACTTTATAAGACAGAGGATTCAACACACTTAGGGAGTAAAGTTTTACACTGGGAAACAAAAAAAAGATATAAATTATTCTTTTATGGTTTGAAAATAAAGGTATGATCTGAATATATATTGACAAGCAAGGAAAAAAGGACTAAAAGAATATACATCAAAGTGTTAATGATTAATTGTGAATTGACCGTTATGGCTGATAAGAATGTTTTATCTCCTGACTCTATAACTTTCTAAATCTTCTGACATGGAAAAAAATCTATTCGCTTTTAAAGCAAAACTGGGCAATATCAGATCTCTATTTTGGAAGAGAATTGAAGTTTTCTTAGAGATGGCCATAGAACGGGGAGTAGAAGACTAGACTCAGGTGGCCATTGTTACCCTAGAACAAGCCCTTGCTACTCAAAGTGGGGTCAACAGACCAGCAACATCAGCTTGACTCAGAAGCATATTAGAGATGCAGAATCTCAGGCCTCCTCCCCAATCTACTGAAGGTAAAGAAGAAGATTAATCAAGAGATATTCTAACATTGGCTGATGTAGCTCAGTGGATTGAGTCCTGGCCTGTGAACTGAAGGGTCAGCGATTCAATTCCCAGTCAGGGCAACATGCCTGGGTTGCAGGCCATTTCCCCACTTGGGGGTGTGCGAGAGGCAACCAATGGATTTTTCTCTGGCACATTGATGTTTCCCTCCCTCTCCCCCTCTTCCTCCTCTCTCTAAAAAAATAAATAAATAAAATCTAAAAAAATTTAAAACGAGATGTTCTAGAAGTATAAGCAGCAAGGCTTGACAGTTGATAATATGAAAAAAAATCATGAACCTTGGAAATATTTCCAGACTTGGAAGAAGATGGGATCATTAACAGATATAGATTACTAAAAATTGATCAAGTTTAAATGGAAAAATATAAATTTTATTTCAAACATATGAGGTTTGAAAACTTGAAAGATGGCCAGATGGATATGCTTAGTCTGGGAAATGTAGAACTGGGAGCCAGTAAGAAATTGGGTTTACAGATTTGAGAGTAATCTAAGAAAAGTAGACAATAGAAGCTGCAAGAGCTTGCAAAGCAAGAGAAGAGATGCAAACAATATCTTTTAAATAATACTTACATTTTGGAAACAGGAGAGAAAGAGAAGTCAGACAATGAGTGGCCAATACTAAGATCATCAGAAGATTATAGTGTCAAAGAAATCAAAGGACATTATTCAATTCTTTCCTCATTTCATGCTAAACTAGTAGTGGTGTGCACTATTATACTCACATCAAACAGGAGAGTGATGAATCAATGGAGATCTTAATTCTTGAGACATAGAATTACCAAAATATTTGGAGTGGGTGTGGTGGAAGAGGAGAACACTAATACCTTGAATGTTACAGTAATAGGTCTCATCATTAGTAGATATCTAAAGTTTTGTGGCTTTTTAAAAAGTTGTGATGAAAATTTTACCATCTTTACAGTGTTGCAAATCAAAT